CATAATACTTGAATCCATAGAAGAAAAAGAGGTGACTGAGGAAGGAACAAAAAACCCCAGGTTCAACTGCAGACCACCTCTCTGGGTTTCCCTCCATCTTTAAAAACCAAGTCCAAAAAAGTCCACCCCCAAAAAACCTGCAGTCCAGTCATTTAGCCAGTTGTCTGTCTGAGGGTAGCATGTCAGTCTGAGCTCAGCAAATAGAGGTTTATCTCAAGGTATGCTCCTTGCGGTTTTAATACAGGTCTGTTCATGGCTTCCCTCTGATTTTGTTGGTTCTACACCCATGGATTCAACCGACTTCAGGTTGAAAATATCTTGAGGGAAAACATTTCCACAAAGTTTAAAAAAGCAAAATTTGAATTTGCCACATGCTGAGTAGTACTACATTGAATTCGCATGAATGATCTACAGGTGTTGTGTTAGGTATTATAGGTAATCTAGATATGACTTAAAGTATATGGGAAGATTGCAAATACTGCTTTATTTTATATAAGGGACCTGAACATTCATGGGTTTGAACGTTTTCAGGGATCCTGGAACTAACCTCCCACATATACTGAGGATACAGTAATGAAGTATAAAGTTTAGAACTCTTACATAGAAATTTTGTATACAGTTAATAATTACACATTAGTGCAGGGAGAGTCCTACTGTCTTTTTTTTTTTTTAATAGAGACAGGGTCTCACTATGTTGCCCAGGCTGGTCTCGAACTCCTGGGCTCAAGTAATCCACCCGCCTCAGCCTCCCAAATAGCTGGGACAACAGGTGTGTACTACCACATCTGACCACTGTCTTTTAAAAGAAAAAATAAGAGATTGGTAGTACCAGGAAATTTAAGTTCCCAAGACATGGATCGTATTCATGCTCATTGAGTGCCTATTGGATATCAGAGGCAGTTGAAGAGGCTGAAGCTACTTTTCTCATGGAGCTAGTGTTGTATTCTAGGGGCTAGACAATAATTACATGCATGAAAGAATTGTGTGTGATAAATGTTGGCATAAAAGTAAAACAGGTAATGTGAAAGAATTATGGTTGTGATAATAGGCACCACTTATCATGTTTGCCAAGGTGGCAAATGTGGTTAATGAATGTTGGATGCACATTCTTAAATATTCCTCAGGCGGGGACTCTGACAGCAGCTCGTTCCGGGATCACACAGATACCCTAGGGTAGAGCTTGGATCCGGGCAGGGTCTGTCTGACTCGGAGGCACATGCTCCCTTTCTTTTTTCCGGACAGAGTCTTGCTCTGTTATCCAGGCTAGAGTGCAACAGTGTCATCACAGCTCTCTGTAACCTCAAACTCCTGAGCTCAAGGATCCTCCTGCCTCAGCCTCCC